ATAAGAAACAGTCATAGATGAAACTTGAGACTTGTTAGTTTGTTTCATAAGCTCTGTTCAACTCATTGTTGAATATGGGCTGACAAGATAGAACATGCAATCATATGAGAGAAGACGATCTGCTGATTAGACGATGTATATACAGAAGAGTATACAAGTGGACTGACTATTCATGGTTGTACACCAAGACAGATGACACTCGTAAGTACCCCATCTTCTCGTTTTGTCTAAATGGAAACAATCGATTTGGGTGATTCTTCGCTCTCTGTCTCTTTTCTTCTCTCTCTCTCGTTTAATGTGAATGTATATGCTGAGATCGTGTGCATTCTGCTAGAACAATCGTGCAGTCAATCACATTTAACCATCGAGTAACAACAATAAAAGACGAAGATTGATCGTGCAAACTTGTCTATCATTCGATGTGTTCAATGTACGCATGTCTATGCGACATATACATATAGGAATATGTCGATCTTTTCCTCTCTTGCGACTATATGCAAGTAAGACTACTGTTGTTACTAGAACATTACTTAGACATATAGGAACAAGAACGAGAGAGAGAGAAAATCAGTCTTAATCCACTTCAAGTACGGAAAAACGAGAACGAAAGACAAGAAAAGAAATATAAATGAAAGGAGAAGGAGAAAGAGGGAGCAATTGATCATGTCTGTTGTTACCACATATTTCTTCTTCTGTCCTATATTGGCAGTTATCGATATGGTTCCGTTCATATAATCTTCCCGTGCACATTCTTTTCCTAATGCCATCAACACTCTGAGTACAGAAGGAAAAGCAAGGCTGAGGAGAAGAAGAAGAAGAAGTAATAGTTCACATTTCTCCATACATCTCTCCACGTAAATACTCTCCAAGTGGTCATCAGCAGCAGTTGGTAACTCTCTTAATCCGTTCTTTTTCGCATATTTATTAACCAACAGTGATCATTATGGACAAGCGCTTGACGAGCTCACATAATAGTATGTAAAACGTTATCATACGTCACTATCGAGAAAATAAAAATAACATTTGGAATATTTTTTTTGTTCTCTTTTGTCATTCAATAGAAATTCTAGATAATCATCATACGTTAACAGTTTAGTTGCTCTTGCATCTCTGAGATGAAAGGACATCTAGTCGGTAGATTAATAGATAATTAATTGCAGCGATATTTATAGAAATGAGGAGAGCGTATCATTTTTTAAACTATATATGCACTCTATTAGATCTCATTTATCTGCTCGCAGTAGAAATTGTTCTGTAACAGAAAGAGAAAAGGAAGAAGAAGAAGAAGAAGAAAGAAATCATCAAGAATGTTTTCAGAGAATATGATAAACCTGCTTAGATTTATTTATGATGAATCTATTGAAGTATTGAAAAGAAAACAGACTCCATGTTGAAGAAATCATCACAACAGTGACAAGATAATTCATTGAATAGAGTAAGAAATTGTGATCGAGAATCGGCAGTTCATGAGTTTCGATTTTCTTTCTATGATTATTCCATCTCTCGTTTTCTGTCAAAGGTAAAAGAATTTTCCTTTTATTTTGTGCACTAATTCGATCTATCCTAGCGGGTAGTTGTCGTAGCATATACATCATTTTTTCTTCCCCATTTCATTATCATCGAAGACAAGACGCATTAGAGAGACAGAAATACAGCTTATGCCGAAGAACGAGACATCGAGAGAGAAAACAGCAGTGAAGTTTTTCTCTCGACATTTTCATATTTGACCGGATTTTCATGTCGTTAGATACTTTTTTTGTATGAATACAAAGACAAGTAAGTTTTTTGTTAAAAGCGCAATCAAGGGCGTGCAATGACTTTAATCAGCGGCGTCATTGATCGTCATTAGAGATTTTCTTCTCAACGCTTCGCATCACGTTGTTTTATGTATATCTTTGATATTAGAATTTCTTTCAAATGCACCTATAATTAAAGAATAGATCCAGAGAAGGCGACAAGTTATGGTTAGAAGGGTTTTAATTAAATAGATACCACGGTACTTTTTTTCGCTGTTTGGTTATTATTAACTAAGCATATCTAAAACATTCATTTTTCCTTCAAAACATAGTTCTTTTCTTTTCTTTGTCAATGAGCTGTAGCCCATTGGTATCTGACATTGAGATTCCATCAAATGCGTTAGATTTAGATATCGCATCCATAGTAGCGAACGGGCCTAGTTCGTATTTGACGACTTCTTAGCGAGAAATAGAATATAAGATAGATGCGTTTCCTCATTGGAGAATAAAAGCCAAGCAAACAACAGCATTGATGATGAATTATTGAGCGCAAGAATTCGCGTATACATATATTCGTCTACGCCGAATGGTTTCTATCATCCGTCGGACAATAACGACAACAACAACAACAACAGCAACGACGACGACGACGATGATGATGATGAAGAGGAGGAGGACGACGACGACGATGAGCAACTAGTAACAATAGGTCAATTCCATTGGGACGAACGTAGTAAAGCAAAATGTGATGTCGCAATCCTCTTATCTCTCATTTTCTCCTTCTTCTGCTAGTGATGCATCTTATTCCATTCGCACAGCACAGGCAAGCTACTTGTAGCTGGCCCAAGGTAATTTTCTCCCCGAACTGCTGTCATCATCATCATCATAGATTTTTTCTCTCTCCCATGTACACACATCTTATTGAACAAACAGTGAAGCGTATATCTTCGGAAAGAAAATACTCCTGATCGACCTAAGAAAATACATCGTCAAGAAAGCAAGCAGCAAAAGGAAGAGACTATCGTCTCTCCATATGTTATAAATCAATTGTGCAGTTGCTAGAAAATACAAAGACAAAAAAAGAAAGAAAGTCAGCTGGATCTATATTATTCTTTAGCAGTAGGAGACGAAAGAAAACGATCGAGAATGGTAGTAATCGAGTCGTCGGTTTTCTACTACATGTACTGTCAAAGTGCAAGACAGCAAATGCACTTTTTCTTGCTGTTCTCATGTTGTCTATCATTGTCGTGTCAAAGAACGAAGTGTTAATGTTAGTTTTCAGTTCTAAATCTAACAAAAGAACAAAAAAAAAGAAGAAATTAGATACTCGGTTTAGCATATCTGAAATCGTATGTTGATAGCTTTTCTTCACCCTCTTATTGCTTCTTCCTTTTTTTTCTTTGTTCGACAGATGTACAGATATGATTATTCTCTTCGATGTCAACGAAGAAGAACGACAACTGTATGTTAAGTTTTTCGACCTTAGAGAATCAAAGGACATCGGAAATGTATAGCTTCAAGTGACATACATCGATATATCCTTGCGTTCTTGCCATCGAAAACAACTTCTCTATTACAAATTTTCAAGGCAAGAAACGACGGAGAGAAGGAAAAATGCAACTTCTGTTCCTGCTTATGATCGCTCATTCAATCGATGATCGATTGAATGAGTGTAGATGATTTTCTGACATAAGCGTTCTCTGTATGTGTGTGTGTAAGCAAGCGTATTTATATCTGTCCTATGTAATCAAGGTTGATCAAATGCGATTAGTTAAGAGATATGAGTTCTAGTGAGGGTGCACTTCGGTATTTTTTCCAGATCTTGATGTGTAAGAATTTGATGAATAGGAAAGTCTAATGAATATGAATCTGCTGATTATCTGTTCTGAAGTATGAGTCGAGAGACGATGGTGATTATGTGCAAATCAACTTTGTAACAGCCGTGTGCTCTTTTGTATATGTTTTCAAGAAAAAATAACTAGCGGCATAGCATCATTACTAGCAGTACTAGCATATTATTATTTATCTAACGAAGAGTCTATTCAATCACACATGACACATAAACATACATCCGAACGGGAAGAATATTTTATTCAGACAATACAAAACTTTTCTCTCTACCCGCAAGGTATATGTATCTCATATAGAGCAAGACATATATACGAGGAAGCATCTGGTATGAGATAGGAAAACTGAATAGAGGGAATTCGATGGAATATATAAGATGGCATTGAGCTTTATTTGGCCTTGTTTCATAGGTCGGTAATGATTATGGCTACATTTGTTAGTCAATTTTACTATCTAGGTTCAGTTAACTTTCATGTAGAGAAAGAAAAGACAAGGTGTGTATACATTCGTATTCTTTTTAAGTGAGTAAATAAGACGACGAGAAAGCCGACGACGAATAATGATTAGAGGTTTAGTTAGACACGAAACGTGCGCAAGGGTATTCTTTATTATTTCTTCTTTTGTCGGCTAGTTTCTAGTTGATAATGTTCTACACAACATCGCAAAGGATCTGAGTTCCATATGGTTTTTCCTCTCTTTCGTGTTCAGCTCTAATTTGAGATTAGGAAGTCGCCAGATATAGGAACGTTGTTTTCTTCCGAAAGTACATTAATCTTATTTCTTTTGAATATAATTACATCTAATAGTGAAAACTATTCTTTCATTCATTGTGCGCAATTACGAAACCAAAAACAGAACCGAGTTGCTGTTTCTAGTTTTCTTCTCTGTCAATACATGTAAAATAATGAGTATGCATATGATACATATACTAAAAAGATCAACCTTTTCCATCTACACTTTCCAAATCATTGACACATCAGTATTGTATTGATCAGATATTGATGAAGGGCAAATGTAGAGAAGAAAAAAGACAAAAAAAAATGAAATGCCATTCTCTTGGAGAGATACCTTTGATGTTCTCGTTGTTCTTCTTTTCTCTTTTCTTTCCCTTTCTCTCTCTCCTCCCCCGATTTGCCTCTTCTTATATTCTTTCTGTGTGGAAAAAAACGCAACAATGTTTATCTTATCGAATATACGAACCATTACCCATTATACACACAGTTGTCATGTTTGTATTATCATTGTATGGTTCCTTATTCTAGGTAATGGCTGGCATTCAATACTGCTGGCAGTGGTCATATTGGTGGCTGGTCAAGGACGCTAAAGAGCATCCAAACTTATTCTAGATATCTTTATATAGAAGATTATCTGACGACAAGAGGAAACCTAATTATGAGTAATCTAAAGATGTCTCAAATGTTATCTGTACCTCTGAGTCGAGTACGCTCGCCGAAGCTAAAACGTCAAACGCCCGTTGATGACGAACTCGATGGTCAACATCAAAGTCAACCAGCGAAGTCAATTGCTTCAGATTATGAATCGAATTCATCGCGTTCACTTTCACCCTATTGGCGAATTGTTATGGATCCCGAATCGTCATCTAGTTACTTAGATGTACCTGAAACAACGAATAACAGTCGACGATCGTCAAATAATAGTGTTGTACGTTTTACTCCACATGATGGATCGGATCTATGTTCAATTCTCGATATGACAGTACATATTTCCATGCAATAAAACATTTGATTTCATCATTTCTATTTTCTTTTCTAGTATGAATCAGAAAATCTCGAAAAAGCAATTATTAGTAACGATAAATACACCGTTCGTCGTATAATAGATATCCATCAAAATAAATTTAATCTCATTAAAGATCGTTCAAGTTTACCACATACACAATCAGGTTTTCCTACACATCCTTTACCTGCAACACATCTAACTCTCCATCCTACAGCATCATATGGTTCACCGTCAATCACAAGTAATACCGATCTATTAGAAGTGGTTAGTAAACAAGCACTAATCAGTAATGAAAATGACGAATTACCATCGATTTCGTCACCCGAACAAACAAATTCAATGTTCGAACCAGCAAATAGTATCTTAAACTACACAAGTGGCCCGTTAGCGATCGCTTTGATGAATTATCATCAACAAGCACACTCAAATAATCATCTCACATCGAATCCCTCCTCGATCAACATTGGATCACCAATGACTGAACGTCTGGAAAACGAACATGATTCAATGATCACAGCTCCAACCAGTTTTAACAAAGAATCGGTTTATCCAACAAGCGACTCACCAAACGATGCTCCGCCCATCTTTCGAAATGTTCTACATGTTGCTATTATGTATGGTATGTATCAAAATCGAATAATTGATATGCAGGAGAAGACAACAACAACATATTAAGAATTCTTCAGAGAATTAGATGATGATGAATGAGTTATAAATATCAAATTGATTGTTCGATTAGAAAGAAGAAAAACAAAATAGAAATCATTAAGATTCAGAGTAATCAAATTTGTTTGGTTTTTCTTCTACAGATGCTCGCGATGTCATGCGGATTTGTTTGAAATATGGTATCGATCCCAATGCTCCCGGTATTCATCCAAATACCATCCATACTTCATCAAATTCTCAAACACCAACATCCAACACCTACTCTCATTCAAGCACGCGTTTATCACCTGATCTGCCACGCGCATCACCATGTCGAAACGGTACTCTCGATTATACGAACTATTACACTAATGAACGTTTATTTACGCTACCACCGTTGTTTCTTGCTGCTCAACGTAATAATCATTATGCTTGTACACTTTTACTTAAATATGGTGCGAATGTTAACGTACGTGATGAACAATATTGCAGTCCATTACATTTAGCTGCACGTCTGCAGCATGATGTGTGTGATATTCTTATATCTCATCACGCTTGTATAACAATTTCGAATAAATATGGTGATACACCTTTGTCTCTCTGGCCCAACGTCAAGCAACTACAAATCGCATTTGTTGAACGTGAATTTAGTAAACTCTGTCGTAAGCATTCGTGTGTATCCAAGCGTTATCGATTTCTCTCGCGTGATACGAACAATGATCATTACCAAACGATATCATCAATGATGAATTATAATAACGGCTTAGTACCAGCTCATGGATTGAAAAACTTGAAACGTGTTTTCCGATACAGTGGAAGCGATTCGTACGATTCGAAATCGTTTAAGAAAAGTTTCTCCTCGCAAAGTTCAATCGGTAAATCAAAGCGAATAACCGGAAGTAATCTTCAAACAAATGGACCAGGAACATCCATCGGCCGAAGTGAATCTCGACAAGTATCCGAAGAACGTGAAGATACAGACATAGCTCATCTCGGAAGATCATTGAATGTTAAACGAAAAGTAAGCATGAGAAGCGCTTTTGCTTACAAGTCGATCGTGTAATTCGATAGGCAGTAATGATTTTTAGTTGGTTTGAGGCTCGATCGGTTAAACTGTGCCTTTTGCTTCTCTTTCCCTCAGTAATCATCTGGAATAATTACATCGATTGTTTACTGTACTCGAACTATCCGAATGGATATGTATATATCATGTCTGTGAGAAACTATTTGACTCGAAAAGAAATCTGCAAATGATTAGCTCGATATATAATTAATGGAATCGTTGTAAGTTTATAATGTCAACGGATATCAATGAAAATTTGTTCGACAATGACGACTACGAGTGATATTTAATACAGATAGAAAACTATCTAATTATGCAATTTTCAGTCGCAATTCGTAGGTCATATTTGTTTTCATAGATAAAAATATAAATCTTTTCATTAGAGAACTCGGCAGATTAGTTTCATTATTGCCTATGTAATCCGTTCTTTTACGCATGAGATCAGGCAAGGAAACAGTCGGATTCAGTATATCAGATCTGAAGTTTATTTTTTCAAACCGGAAGTCCTTCTCATATGTAAGTTAACTAAATAAATATGCCATCGTACGGCGAAAGAACCGCGTCAATTTAGAGAAAAATCTCCAGCATATCCTGTGGGAGATCTTTCAGTATTATTCAGCAAACACATCTTAATAGATGCAGTATTTTTTTTCTTCTTCGCCAAGCTACCGAAGATGAGATAGATATGCAAAACGATTTGTTGACATAGATCCGAAATGATCAGTTGGAATCAAGTTTAATTTCGTTAGCAAGCAAGTTTCCATTGAAACGAAGATTACTCGATGTGTGTAAACATCACAAATGAATATGCAAAACATTTTCTCTCCGAGAGAGAAAAAAAAAGATTTCTATGAACTGTTGACATGTGTCTAAAAAGATTTAATTGAAATATGTGATAGTTTGATCCGAATCGATTCATTCATTTGTATGAGAGACTAGCATTGTAGGATTGAGATCAAAATATAGTTCTTGATTGTCATCATCAATTAATATTCTTTAAAGATCAAATACAACGATTTCATTTTTTGCCTTTCGTATGTTCTTTAGACCGGTACATCATCATTGGCTGTCAATATTCTTAATCCTCATAAATCATCTCGTCGACAACGACACTATGCTGCTGCAGTAGCTCAAGCATCAGCAGAAAGTGAGTTAGAGAACTGTAATTGTATCGATCTCTCGTTCTTTCTTTCTCTCTCTTTCTTCGAAATATATTTATACTTACGCGACTAGTTTTCCTCTGTTGGTTTCTTTCGCCTTTGCCCTCAAGGCGATCTCTTTCTTTTTTTTTCGGCAAAAATACATCGACTGTCATCCTATCATTGTCATGCCTTGTTATATACAATGATCAAATATATTCGTTAGAAGAAGAAGTCAGTTAGATCTCTACTTTTGTAGAGCGACGATGATTTGACAGATACTGCAACCTTTTTCGACAAGAAATACTTCGCTCGATCTCTCCGCACACCAGTTGTTTACAATAATCTGACGAAAATCATTTCCTGTCAGATTCAAACCATTTACCATACATGTTCTGATTAGATAGATCTTTTTATTTTATAATACAATCATTAAGTTATCCCATGTCTACTGAGACGTCGACTAATCGAGAAGTTCGTTTCGTTTAATAGGCGTCTGTTTCAAATGTCAGTACATTGATAATCATTTGATGAGGAAAAATAACGATTTATTTCTCTTCCATTTCCTTTTGTCATCGAGGAAGACACAGGTGATGTTCCGCACGATTTCAATGAATACATCATTCCACTAATAAGAGTTATTAGCGGATCGTTTTACCTTTGAGACAATCTCGTTATATTTTCTCCTTTTATTCTTCATTTAGCATCGCTTATTATCTAAAGCATGTTCCTATCTAATATTTCATTAATAAGAAGAAAAAGCGAGAAAACTCACGTTCTATATTCACTGACTCAAACACCCGGACAGTTGATTATGAACGTGTGTATGCGCGAAAGCGGTGTTTTTGTTCTATCGTCGTATATAAATGCGAGCGGCCGTGACTTCCGATGGTGTTTTCATTATCCTTTCTTATTTTGGTTGATTTTCTTATCCAGGAAAGCATAGAAGAAGAGAAAGAGCCGAAAAAAAATCTTTTCCTAAATGGTTTGTACTGAGCCAAAGTTTCCATTCATCTGTAAATATTTTCGTTTATAAATAAAAGAAACACTCATTTTTCTTTCTTTCTCATGTGTCATTCAATTTTCCTCAAATCTATTCATGTCAAGATGAGTAATAGAATCCATGTTGTTAGGTAAGAAGATGAAGAGTTCTCTATCCAAAAAGGTCTTTTCAATCAAATCATACTTTAGCATGCGAGTACTTCTTCAATTCGCAAAACTGCGACTATAACACGTTCATTTTCCTTCTCTCTTCTCTCAAAAGTTATTATTATCTATTTTATATAATAGCTATAAAAAACCAATTGTCATTCGATAGGATTATCATACCGGAATCTAATACTTCCACTAGATTTTTCAAGTATAGATCTCTTTCCTTAATAAACTTTTTCTTCTCTTCTCACGTTCAAGTTTTCTTAGTTGACATACTATCCAACCTATATTTCGTCCATTAAGAGAGTTAAGAAGATTTATATTGAGAAAAAAAACACCCAGATATTTTATCTGGCAAATGACTCCCACAATAAAAATAAATTTTCTATTTCGTTTATCTCTTACAATTCATTGAGTAAAATGCGACATCTTAAATAATAAATGTCTCTGGATAGTTTTTAGTTTTGTTTAAATATTCATGCAGACAAATAGCACTTAACAGCAGATCGGTTTCTACTCATCGTCTCAATTCTTTGCCTTGTCTTCAACCGACAAAGTCAAATTGAGTTAAAGATGCATTCGTCTTGCGTAGTATCATTAAAACTCTAAGAATAAGTTCGATACACTTTTCTTTCGCATCACTTGAGAAAATAAACTAGAAGAGAGAAGGAGAGAGGAGTTTTCCCTTTTTTAATGATCATTATATACGATAAAAATGTTGATTAGAATACTCTTGTCAGTACCAGTCTCATCATTTCCTTTTTCCTTTTTTTTCTGTTTTCATTCAAAGATTATCTTTAGTAACAGTAGAAATGTAAACAAGAAAAATCAAGAATTCATCGTTCGCTACGTTGTTCTTCGAATTGTCGCGAATAAACTTTTATTTCTCTGGCAGTTGAAACAAGTTAATCTTGTCGTTTAGACATGACCATTACGATTTAATTGTATTACGAAAGACTTTTGACATGCTCTTCGCAGTTTTTTTTTTTCATTTAGTTAGTTATCTAAAAGCTAAAGAAAGAAGATGAAACGTCACTAACACATACATACATGAGAATTCCACTGGTTGATGGATACACGTCTTATTGTCAGAAGTTTCTTTTTTGTCTAACGAGTGTTATTGTTGTTTCGGATGTTTTCTTATTTTGATCTCATTGGCCTTTCTTGTTTTAGCTCAAGCTCTCAATGATCGTCTATTTAAACGATTTTCCGAATTAAGTCGACTTGCGACCAATAGCGAATGTGTCGATCAATTAATGGATCTATTGCGTATGCAAAATTCAATGGACGAAATCTTATCTCTAATAAGTCAAGCAACATCCGCACAGGTGCATGCCCGAATTGCCGAATTACTTCATACATTACTTAATGTAAGTTCATACTTTTGAATTCACTAAAGAGAGAAGAAAAAAAGAACGACAGTACATATATTAAACATCGAATGTTTGGTAGATAGATTATCGAATTCTGTTATATATCTCCAATCAGACTGTTGTGTATGGCATACTAAAATGCAGAGAGGAAAGAACGAAGATAAACTTAATAGAATTCGACGTACGCAGCAGATTTGATAATCTATCTACCATCGAACAAAGAAGATTTTCTGCTTCTTAAACATTACATCTGTTTGATTTAGTACTAAAAATGTCCTTGTGAAGAGAAAATGTTTACTCTCGACGCATTTCTTCGAATATTCAAAGTGACAGATGTATTTCCAATCATGAGAACAATTCCTTTCAAGTCTCTCAGATCTTCATCTTTGAACTTGATTTCCTGATAATTCTTCGCATGAACAAAAAAACGAAACATTCATATTCCGATCTAAAGATATCTAAATCCAAGTCATAATCTTTAACTTGCTATCATCTTTTGTTCCCAACAACATTCGAGGTACGAATTGAATGATTAGTATTCCTCTGAAACAAAACATGTCCATAAGAATTGAATTCATTCTATAAACATTTCTAATCATGACAGTTGAATTAATTGAGTAAAGATTTCTTTCGTTATCAATTAACATTCCAATGATTAAGCAACACGTTTTAAAGGTTAGATATTGTCTCTCAATAATAGAACTTGACATGATTAGGAAGGCAAACACGATCGTATGTGTAACGAGAAAGTTTCATGAGAAAATCTGTAATTAGAAAAATCGTTTGTAGAATCAGTAGCCGAACAGATTTGTGTAAAGAAAAAAGTTCTCGTTTGTTCATCGATTTTGATTTTATTAGAGTAAATATGAGTGAATAAATCATGATATTTTGTCATGTTCAATCAACTAAGCATCAATAAATAATAATCAAGGCTGAAAATCAGAAAAAAGAAAAACAACAACAGGAGCCGGTCCTTCTCTAAGCGAAGTGAAGTTCTATTAATTGTTATCATATCATCATTGGGACACTATTTATCTTTTCATAGAGGATACGAGAAGAAGAAAAGAGAGAACCTGCTGCGTCATATTTGTCTTTACATGAGATATGATGTTGATATTACATCGTTTTGTTGAGTGAATACTATGAAGAAAAAGATATAAGAGAATAAAAAAGAAAGAAGAGTCAGTCGTGGATAGATCAACGAAAAACCATAATAATCAATAGGACCTGTATATATATATATATCTTTTTGCATGTATTGATGTACTCTGTTGGAGCTTGTTTATCTATCATATCAAAGAGTAAAGAGCGAGACAAAGAAATCTTAGTATGTTTATACAACAGTATGTATGTACACATGCACTTCGCGAAGAGAAAGAAAATGAAAAGAAAGAAGAATGTCATTTCATTTCAATCGATAACGCTGTTCGTTGTACTGTTCGAATCGTGTAATGTGGATAGAAAGGATAGTTGATGACGAAGTTAGCAGAGTTCGTATATGACCGAGAAAGAAAAGATTGTCAAGTTGATGTTGGTTATTGTCGATTAGCTTGATTCGTTGTATATGCTTCAAATGAATATAAATGAGAGTAGTTATTCTTGTTGTTGAATCATTTCCGCCATCGAATTGCTATTGCTATTTCCCATGACGAATCTGTTTTGTTGTTCCCCGTCAGTGTGTTTTCTTCTAGTTGCTTATTTCTCTTTTTTCAAATGGAAATAGATGTAATGATGTCATAATAGTCTCGGTAAAACGAAGAAAAGTGAAAGAAAAGTTGAATTTTGAGATGGAAAATTTTGTTTTCTTCAAGATTTATAAAAACATGTCGAGATTTAATGGAACAGAGTCGGATGAAATCACTCGAATGATCTTCGTCTCAACTGAGAGTTTCTCTTCATCGTGTACAATTAAATAAATGAGCTCAAGATGATCGAGTAGATCAATGAGAGACTAGTGTATGCACATTAGCAGCAATATCTAAATGTTGCTAAGAAAGACCAATGCAAACAAAAATAGCATTGATCCATGTCACGTCAACAGATGATAATCAAGACAGGTAGTTGACGAAACTCAAGAGAATGTCACACACATGTAGACATCATTATCGACGAGCGTAGTAACGACTAAATTGTCCCCAGAGGATGCGATCTATCTCTCATAAAAAAAAGATGAAGAGCAAGCAAGTCTGTTTCGATGGAATAACATTAGCAAAGGAATCGAAAATCGTTTTTTTCTCTTCGTTTATTGTCTTCATCAGAGATATAGTACTTCTACTAATCATTGGGTGTCAGAGTCAATGTTAAACAGAGTATAACATGATTTTCTCATGTTACTAGCGTAGCAAGAAAGCACAAGCACAGCATCACGTCCGTTCCAAAGACGACAAGCGGAAGAGGAGCGAACGAGCGCGTCAACAACGACGACAAAAGAAGAATAGAAGAGAAACAGAGCGAGTAGCAAATCATTTCATCGAAAATGGGGAAGGAGAGATTCTAAGAGATAGATAGATAGATAGATAGATAGAGAAATAGACAATCTATCTATTTATTGTCATTCATAGCAAACAGAGTATCATTTGATTGCACTTATTATTGATATAAAAGTTTTCTTTTCTTTTCTTTTCATCAATGACTACTCAGGTTTGTTCCATATTGAAACATTCTGTTAAGTATCGTTGTTTTTTTTTCATTGATTTAGACATGCTACCAAGAATTTTTACGCAATCATGATAAACGTGATCATGTGGAAAAATTTCAAGTGCACACGAAGAAACTCTTGGATATTTCATTGGAATTGCTCTCGAGTGATATGGTTAATATGCAATATTTAGCATTGATAACAATCAATCGTTTATATGATGTTTATGTATATCACAATTTGATCAATCCAGGTCGCTATAATGCATGTTATATTCCAGCATCACGTCGACAATTAACATTGAATTCCATGATAAATTCCAATTCATCACCATCAAATACAAATTCATGTGACGAGTCAAAAACAGGAAACGATCGTTTGCCCAAAACATCAACGCTGTCGAGTATTCTACGAAAAATTTCGCGTGAAACTGATGAAAAACGTGCAGTCGCAGCAGCAGCAACGGGTGGAAACGCCTATCTAAGCTCGAAACTATCATCCAACATAACCCAACAGACTTCGGGTCCTGGACCAGGCGGTGGTAGCACTGGGACAGGAAATAGTAGTAACAATACTAGCGGAAATACTGGTGGTATATTGACACGTGAAGCATCAAAACGATGGATTCCATTGTATAGTAATGATAATCTTGCTCCGGCATCTTCATCACCATCTCCTATTCCACCATCATCATCTACGAATATATCATCATCTCAAGGGCCCAAACCCTCCTCAACCGATTCACCGAATCCTCAAGCATCACCATCACATTTCTCGAAATCTCATCTGCTAAACTCGGAAACTTCCTCAACAAACAATGCATCGTCAACATCCAACGATAATACCAACTCGGCGTATACATACGAGCCGTTTTCTTTGCTGTACAAAATCGAGCCAATACATCTCCTGCGTTTAATGCGGACACGTTTGGATGCTCATCGACGAGAATTCAATAATCGACCAAAATGCGTTCCATCAACACGTTCACCCTTATGTACACATCATTGTGTAGTGATTTTAGCAGCGCGCATATTGACTATACTCTGTCAAGACCATGCATTTCAAATGCGATTCATTGGTACCAAGGAAAATCTTGCTATTATTATTGATATGTTAAATATTAATAATGATCCGGTAAATATTCGCGAGATATGATAAAAGAAAGAAAAGAGAGAGAGAGAGACGAGCTTATTTGATCGATTTCCTGTCGTTATGAATATCTTGGCATAAATAGAAAGAGAACGAAATCAAAATTCAATTATGTAGATAATGTTAATCAGAAAAAAACACACATTCTTTTCTTTTTAATGGCAAAAATAGATCGAAAAGATTCAGACATGTCTTTTCTCTTTATCTGATATTAGATTAGATCAATAACATCATTTTGCATATTTATTCTATATTCTGGTTCTTTTTCTCTCGTTAAGCATTTAATCTGTTTAATTCTTCAAACACTGGGCGTTGTGGCGTTGAATCCCGACTTGCATGAAGTGCTAACCCAAGCCGATATTCCCGATACTGTCTTGCACTTAATTCTACCAGCTGATGAAATGTTCTACACGAATCAAACGACGAAATTCGCTCGCTATGTCAAACATCTTGGTGCAAGAATTCTTGTTTACATGGGTTTGTTAACCAAAGTCAGCAATAAAGTTAATCTCTTCGACATTCTTGGTAAGGAATGTTTCTTTTCGAAAAATTTGTTCACTGGAGACGTGTGAACGACTGGGATTCTCACTGTGAAGATAAGATGTTTCCGAAATCCATTTCACTCTGCGACTAAACAGCGAGTAGTAACCTTGAAGAAGAAGAGAAAACGAAACAATTAGAATTGTTTTATTTAGAAAAGCTTCTCTACATTTTTCGTGTACTCGTAAGTATTCATCGTTATGATCGATGTCGACACTCATTCGGAGACTATTGTCGAATACGAAGGCTAAAAAGATCGATGTTGTTTAAGATAAAAGAAAGCTGAAGGTTACGAGTAAACGTCTACACTTGATCGATTGTCCTTGTCGAAAACGGAAGATGAAAGAAAATACTGCGTTAATTAAATCATCAAAACTAACGTTGAAAAAGAATTGTTAATGAATGAAACAAATGCTTTGGCATATTTCTTAGATGTCGAACCGGAACCACTTGATTGTGATAAACCACAATCATTTGAAAATAATTTCGTTCATCATATGGCGGTGGGAGAAACTGTTGTCGGAACACTCTGGACATCTTTCGCTGGTATATGTATCGAAAAATTACTTGATGAATTGCTTAAAGTAAATAACGAAATCATCAATTTGTATTGATTTTCAATGTTTCTTTTCTATAGAATGGAATCAACCAAAAGAAGTTTCCATCGAAAGAATTTCAAGATCCAGCT